CTTCGCGTCTTATGCATCCAAAACTTCATCCCTCCCTCGACAGAGATCTGTCACTGTCTGCTGCACCTTGCCATTAGTTTGCCTCGCCTCCGTCTGCTACAGCTCTACCCTGCGTTCTACGCCTTCCCTGGCGTAAACGAGAAGGAGCAGCAAAGGAACAGAGCCCAGACTCTTCTTCAGGGCAATGCCTACGTACGTCGTCGGGGACGTAAGGACATTGTGATACGGTGATCCGTAATATCAATTGCTCCCAACTTTCACATCCACTCATTCTAAGTAAATGATTTCAACGCATTAGCCTAAGGCTATTATGAAATTCAAGTCGGTGGTCTTTGTGATAAGCATTGTGCTTCTTTTATCAAGTTGGTCAGAATTAATGTTAATTATTTTGAAAAGTATTTTAGTATTTGATATTTTTTCTGCAATTGCTACTTCGGATGTCACATCAATTAAATTATACCTACTGCTTATTGTTTGCCCTCGTTAAGTTCATTACATTCACTAGTATTTATATCCGCGTTTCACGAAGGTGCAAATGTGTGAGAAGTAACACGGTCTGCCCTGTGTGCTTAAGGCGATGTCGTAGTAAATGAGAAGAGTTGTCAGAAGTTACTGTTCCATTTTCGAAGCGGAGGCCTAAGTTTGAAAGACGGACAAAACTGGACCGCCCGAAAAGTCTGGTTCTGAAGTTATGGAAGCCGCAGTCGCAGGAACTGCTATAACAAAAAATAATCGTTTATTAAACAACTCATATTCGCTAATTGAGAATGGGTAAAAGGGTTTTGTTATCAGAAAACGGATCCTAATTGAACTGTCTTTAGAGAATCTGCAACGACGTGTTGCTTGTTGTAAATCGTTGCCTCAGTAACAACGTCAAATATCATGTTTGGGACAGGCTTCCTACTGGTGACGAAAAGTGGGTTCTATTCCACGACGTTAAACGCCGTCAGTTCTAAATTAGTCGAGGAAGCAGAGCAGTCTAATAGCCACGAGGAGGAATTCATTCAACAGAGATCATGTTGAGGGTGTGGTGGGGCATCTAGAGAATGATTTATAATGATTTGTAGAACATCAATCAAACGATCACTAGTATGGCTCTCGTGGTCAAAGTTGCTATTTGAAAGGGGTTTTGAATCAAAACCAATCCCACTGGCTAACAGAAAGAATGTCATATTTCAAGGCAATAAGTTTCATCATCATACGCCTTGACACACTAATGTTTTCTTTGAATAAATTTGTCGGGAGTAAATGCCATTTTCCCTCTATTCTTCTGACTTTGCATATTGTGATTATGGTTTTTTTCGAGGGCTACAGAAACATTTTGATGGTGCTAGCATGATGTCAGGACAACGGCAGTGAGTTGAAGCCATAAAATTTTCCCGATTTAAATATTTCGCAACGCAGTATTTATTAGAGCATTGATGAGTGGTAAAGTTCTATAAGAAAACGGAAGTTATATTCACAACGGAAAATTCTCTTAATCATGATTTTCTCTATTTTAAATGAAAATCTTGTGAGATAAATTTTTGTTGCATTGTCGTGATACTCAGGGCTCATTCATCATGCGCAAAACGAAATAAACGTATTACGTTACTAACACCAAGTTACTTACGGGCAGAGGGCTTGTAATTTTGGGCACACGGTGATTTTGGGATATCTTTTAATAGTTTCTTGAAATATTATAAAACATGCAATATGTGAGTTTTTGGTCCATAGGGTTTGTGTGTATAATTGTCCTACCAATGTGCTATCAGAGTTACATGCACTTCTTGCTAATATGGTTCACTTTGCCAGCTGGTTATCCAATCATAACTTAAGCCAATCCAAAGCCAGCAAAATATAAATAAGTCAAAAGTATTTCTGCAGCTAAGTGGGAACTTTTGTACGAATATACCGAAAAGTGTAATTCGAATAAACCATGCCTGTGAATTACTAAAAGGTATCTTATTTGCTGAAGCAGATGCAAAATCTTCGTAAGATTTCTACCCCGTCACAATATACCATTTAAGCGTTATTGAAATTGTTATAATTAACAAGAATAATAAACTGTGTGAATGTACCCCCGTTCCTACCGACCATTTGGATAAAGTAGCATTTTCGTGCTCAAGGCATACTCTAACCCAAATCTCCCAGTCCGGAATCTTAATGATCGTGTGTGTGTTTTTAAGCGAGCATATTGCTATCAGATGAGTCATGCACAAGTATACCGCCCCCATATTTGTACATTTTTGGAAATAAAATCAAACGAAGTTCGGACGACCTTCATCATATTGTGTTGACAAGCGACATTCACAACTTTTAACCAGCTGCATATTTTTAACATTACGATAATTTCCTGTTCCTATAGCTATCATTTAGGTTAGATTCACATGTATTGCCAAACCATTCGAAATTGTGTTGTAAGCTCTTAACATTGTAGAAATAGCATCTGGTGCTGTGGATGTTTGTAGTGGCTGATGTACTACTAGTGACCTGCAAATTCTAAAACTGGATGTATTAAGCCTGAGTCCCAAATTTGCCCCATAAATTTTCTTGCAACGTCAACATAGATTATTAGTCAAATCCAAATTTATACATAAGGAAAACCAAATACGTACCACATACTTTCATAACTACTCTGAAAGCTGGTGGTAAGAAGTCATTGTCAATCCAAACTAGTAAATGAATTACTGGGTAATTGCGTTTGAACTTCCAAAGGCCTATCGATTTATCTCTGATAGGCCCAGATTTACGGCAACTAAACAAATTATAGTCCAAAAATTAATTGTGGACTGAAAATCCGTTTCATTAGTCGGAAATAGATAATCGATGACTAGTTTGTAGGGAAGTGCACGTGAATAGACCATATTAGATGTCACCCGTTTCTTTGCTATCCCGTTATTACCATCTTAGTTGCAGTTCACATTACGTGATATCATAAGTGAAAAAAAACTCGGGAATTACTGACAAATAAGTAGTTGATTACTCATAAATATTTCCTGGTTGAGAGTCTTTAAAAGTGACAGAAAGCGGTTAACAGTAATGGAATCAAATGTCCTAATTTTATATAACCAAAATGATTTAGTGATCAAGGGACAGTGGTTAGCAGTGTAAGAAACAATAAATATTTAGTGCATGACTTAATTTGTACACATTTGTAAGCAAATTTACTTGATATAAAAACGTAGAGAACAAAAAAATTAATCCTAGAAAGATTGTCCATAAATTCCTATGATCTTGAGCCATCTCTCAGGTAACGTGCGAATGCTGTCGTGCAAGATACTTGCAGGCTTCAAGGCAATAAAGTCATCGACGACAAATTTACGCACATCGACCAACGTTTTGAAAGGCTTATCCACCAAAGCGTGCTGCATTGACCGGAACAAATGGTAGTTGAATGGGGCCAAGTCTAGTCAATGTGGCGCGTGTGGGAGAACTTTCCATGCTAAATTCAGGAGGGTCTTCTGAGTCGTGAAAGCAACGTTAGGTCGAGCATTATCATGAAGCAACACTATGAATTGCCTTCTGCCTTGACCAGTAAATGACCTTTTCTGAACACGTTGTTTGCTATACAAACAGCGCAGTGCCGCAAAGATAGTGCAAACACACTTGTCCTTCGACTATGGCAAGCCACTAACTGTATGGGATATAACAATGCATTTATGTGAAAAAAATCTGTTTAATTAAAGTCAAGAATGACTGTTTTTACGCAGCATAACCAAAGACAAAAATAACAAGAGTCCCATCTTTACGAGGGGCATTTAATTTAACTTCTTTGTTAACTTTACCTGATTAAGATGCAATTATGATTATAATGCACGACTTTTATTCCCGTTCCTTTATTGATAGCCTACACATTTTGATTAAACCAGTTATTTGATTCTGATAGTTTTAAAACCATTCTAGTGACAGTATCACATAAATAGCAAGACTGCTGCAGTCGGCAACAAATTTAAATCGAAAAATTTCTTGAAAGCGGATTTCTGTTTCTGACTTTTTATTAGTGCAAAATTTTTGATGATTTCATTGGTTTCCTCTTCGTTGTGTACTTTAAATTGGTGTGTTACTAGATAACTGTTCTCACGTACGAGTGCATTGTAGATTTCCTATTAATTGAAGAAAATCCTTTTGAGTAGTTCCATGCCTTAATATGCTGATTAAAGTAGCGTGATAGTAAATTTTGTATTGATTTTTACTTCATTATGGAAATTAGAGTTACGAGGTTTTTCCATTTTACAGATAATGCTTAGGGTACTTCGAAGCTCTTTCCAAATTGATACACGACTTTTTGTCAATATTCGTCGGCGCTCTCTCATAACGACTTGCCTCTGTTCCGGATTCATCTACCGAATGTACACTAGCTGGAACCGAAATAAACCGCCTTCTTCTCTGAATGCGGTTTTTGCCACTTCTCTACCTTCTGACCTGTCTGCAACCACAATATGTATCCCTCCAGGCATCGTATTTATTGCCGAAGAAAATGGCTCTGAAATATCCCACGCCAATGCCGAAAAGAAAGAAGCCGAGTTACGAGCTGAGAAATTGTTATCGCTCCAGAAGTGGATCGAAAACGAATTACCTGCAACCTTTACACGGGGATTATTTGACACACTTGATTTATTTCGACCAGAAACAGTTCTAGAAGTTGAAAGAACTAAAGGGCAGTCTATGTTTTTTAGGTTAGTGAGTCCTATCCCTTTTTTTCATTAGAAAGACCAATTGTCTTTGAGAGTGTAGTAAACTGTTGACTGTCTACATCAATTTCGCTACTCGTAAAATAAACAGAGTGAATTTTCCTCTGTTTTATTATTGCCAATGTTGCCTTTCGTGTATCTGAAATCAATTTTATAAAATATTGGACGCGTAATTTCTATCTTTTTTGCATTTAGTTTATTAATTACATCATAGTTTCTTTAGGTTATTTGATAAAGTTTACCAACAAGACCCTAACTGGTGCCTTAATTTGTTCATCTCAATGCTTAAATGTATTTTCTTGTCGTTTACGATGAATTAATCCTAGATCTGGTGAGGCAAATTATCATCCCCTTCCACACCGCCAAACATTCATTGAAGAATTGACTACTTATACTAATAGTCCTTTATGCTGTGAATATTTTTTTCTTTCTGCTCCGCTATTTGAGTGTAATTACGCCTGCATCAAATGTAATTTTGCTCACATGCGCATTTTTGGTCTGATGAGCTCGTTTCTGTATAAAAGGATTGATCTTTTTTAGAGGTTCATCACGGGCCAACTGTTTTCTAGCTCTAGTGCGTGCGTACTTTGCGGCGGTCTCGTCCGGCCGTCGAATAGAGTTACTTAATGTCAGTGTCGACCACAGCCATTGGCACGTCGAAGCTTCTTTTCGTGTCGTCTTGTTACCTCCCCCAAGTCGCGTTGAGCGTGACCTTCCCATTCCCCAGCTCATTCAACGGCTTGAAACAAGGGCCAAGTAAGCGCTTTGATTATTTTCGAATGGCGTCGAGCAGTTTTCGAGTTTTTGGGTTTAAAAAAATAAGTGATTTCGGCTTTTGACTGTTTGAATGGCTATTTAAAAAGAATCTTGTTGCGCGTAGTGTATATTGTCTCAATGTTAAAAATACTACCATGTTATTTCAAATTGGGATCTTAAAAGTACGGATTTTTAGGGCTTTTATTGCGTATAACGTAATAAGATTCTATTGTAGGCAGCTGAACTCTTTTCCGTCTTTCGAAATAATCATGTTTAACTACTTCAAAATGGTGCCGGACCGATTCTGTTACTGCTTTGGTTTTGTAGACTTTTGAGAAAACTTTCGATGTCATTATTCACTGCGTATTGTACACATGCCGCGTTTATTGAGCGCTTAATTTAATTCGAACCATTTGCTAACAAACAATGTAAAATAACGAATCTTCGTGCTTTGTTAACTTGGACAAGGGAACTTCACAAGAAATTGCTATTATTAAAAACGCTCGGTCATATTACCGCCAGTGGTGTGATATAGGTGGCCTTATTTTCATGTACATATGCTGTTCAGTTCCTTTGACGTTGTCTTTTGTTTTTTTTGCAGGTGGCATGATTTTCGTGCGATATTCTATGTCAGCAAGCTCGGCGACCTTACACTGGTGAAAATAACTCGGGTATAATTAGATCTGTATAAGCACCTTTTTCTCTCATTGTAAAGGTGCTAAGTAGCATCTAGATGTGTCATTATAAACCGTTATTATAGTAACACGTACGACGTCCGTGAGACGCGGTATTTCGTGTTTACGTTTAATGTAAATTATTGTGTGAATTGCGTATCTGTTTAACGAAATCCTCATTTTTTCGGATTCTCTATAGCTTGTATTAGATCAGCCTTTTGCGTTTCTTGACACATAATCATTCCACGGCCAACTGTGTAGTTGTTTTTAACAATGTGATAGTATCTGAGCCTCGTCGATATTAAATAGTAGTTAGTATATATTCATTAAGGCACAAATGTATTTTCCGTTCTCATTAAACTATTTAGGCATAATTGTGTAAAAATATTTGCTGGTCCATTAAAAACGCTGCACTTTTGCAACCCGAAAATGAGTTTTAATGAAGAATCGGTCTTAAGCTTAGGGGATGTACTAAATAACCATGTTTGTTAAAGCAGACTGACTTATTGTAGTCATTTGGGTTTCACCAGGACGTAACCTTACCTGGTTCGGTCCATCGATAGGGCTCTCTGATTATACCTAACTCACGAATCGTCGTTCTTGGCTCCTCATATGCTAGCTAAGACTAACGTTTGCTAGGTCATGTTGGTTTCTATGAATGCTCTTTTTACTACAGGCATCACCAGTGAAATTTCCGCTAAGTTTGCTTGGTTTATGGTTGAATATTTTTTTGTACCCTTTTATAGTTAAATCCTCCGCAGAAGCGCCTATTTGGTTTGTCCCTTCAGAAGATGCGGTTGGTCAGTAGCATTGTGCCAGCCATCAATACCATTACATCTGGCTTACCTCAGCCTTTTTCCCCTCTCTTCTCAGTAGACTCTCCCCCTTATTTCCCTCACTTTCAAGCACTACTTGAAGATTTACATTTCGATAATTCTCTGACACTCAATGTTTATCTATTGAGATGCTTAAACAACTCAGACGAGGTTACCAAAACTGTCTGTCCGGCTAATATGCATGCCTCCTCTGGTGCAGCCAATCCTAGGCCACGTCCCCCTGCCCGAGTCAGTTTGCGTGCCCCTCTGCCTGGACTACCGGTCGTTAACCCACGGCCTTACTTCTTAGGGTTGTATTCAACATTTTCACAGCCGTTAGTTCCATTGTATCTATAAGGTTTATCCTCTCAGGGGTTTGCATGTAAACTACTTTTTACCTGGTTACTTTGAGATTGTAACTTATAGTCTTCATCACCACTTTTGTGTCGAAAAACGCGGTGTCTTAGCAGCGTTCACACCAACATTGCTTTCTTTTTTAAATTGTGAATAGAGGCAGATATCACCCATATTCTGACTTTTAACACCGTTCCGGTGCTCATATTCAGTCAACGTTTTCCACCACCTACCTGACTGACGTGAAGAAGGCTTGTAGGATTCGGTGCTCTCGCAATAATTTTAACGCATTGACGCACATCACAGTAGGGCTAGTCCTGTGGAGATAGCTTAGTTGATGTAAACATGCGAAAGTGGCTTAAGAGGGGAAATGATGATTGTTCGAAATGTGCCAAGGAACCAAACGGTAGCATTCTTCGTTTATTGAACCCTTTAAGCCGCGCCTGCCCAGAAGACCAAAATATGGGACCTTCAGTGGGTGTCACACTTTATAAAGGCGACTACTTAATGTTGAAAGGTTATTCGACTTTGAAGGCAAAGACAGAGTCAGAAAACGCGATCTACAACACAGGATTCAACGTCGTATTTCCTCGAATTTCTTTACCTAAAAATATGTAACAGATCTCTTTTAACGATTAGTCAGGTTGCCTGCAGCCCATAAAATATTTGGACTCAGCCATACGACTTGGTCTTTGGAATTCAACGTGAGGCTTTAGAAACTGGTGGTGTGTATATGCTCGTTATATTTACTCTTTCGTGATAACTGTTGCAGTTTTGAGCAGTCTGCAGAGAAATTGTAGCACAACTCACACCTCAAGCATTTATGGGAGAAAGCCGCCTCTTACTTCGCCTCCGCAAATCATTAAACCAAGTGATCATGACCAGGTTTTAAATTGAAAATTTGGTGCTTTGGCTATCTGCTGCAGTGCTGAGCCATTGTTATTTTTATTGTGGGAATGATGGGGCAGATATCTACTGTCTTCTTCGAATACTTTACTTGAGCATTCACGAACACTAGTAGTTTAAAGTAAAACACAAAATTTGTCCACTTAGCCAATCAGTGCAGGTTAAAAGGAGACCACGCCCAGTCAACCGACTTTCTTTCAAATTAAATGTGGTTTGTTCTTGATGTTGCTGGATTGCAGTTCGCGATCGCGTAATTCAACTACAACGCTCAGCTGAGTCGCTACCGTCTTGAACATCATGCCTTGGCATTGTTATACTCTGATGCTTTATATGTCATGTTCTCCTATACCAGTCTTGCCTAAGCTAGCCCAGATAATCAATTTTTCTGTCATAGACATCATTATTCCCGAGACAACTAAATAATGGTCGGCTTACCCACATTTTTACTTTGCATTTCGTATGACAAAATTTTGAGTCTTATATCTGGGCTGTCATCTTTAGTCGCCTGATGTGAATTGTAATATGCATCCGATCTAGGGTGTATTGACCGATTCCTTTGCAAAGTTCTTATGGTTGCTAAAGGTTGGATCTGGAAAAGCTTATTAATCGGGTGTAGGATTTTTATCCACTAATCGTTATATCTGCAAGTGTCCGTAGCAAAGAACCTTCGTTGTTAATCGAAAAAGTAGCATGTTTCACCATTATCATGCTAGACCGCCTGTCGCCTAACTAACACTGCGAGGGTAGGGAGTTAAGACGCGAAAGCCTCCAGCAACCCCGCCGTATTCTTCTGCCTCGTTCACTCCTGAGTTCCCTTTACTCCTTTCCCATCAAAATAATTCGATTGGCCAAATATTTAATTTGATGTAAGAAGGCAAATGTACGTGATGACTTACTCTAAGGTGAATGCGAGCATTTCCCAGAAAGAGGGACTTCAAAAATTGTTAAACACAACGAAACTGATAAAGCAAACGACGGGTTGCCTATTACAATTTATCAAACTCTATTTTTATGGGAATGTAAGCACTTAATTTGGTTACAATTTGAACTAACTTTTTTCAATCACTGATTAAATGCGTGGTACTATGGGTTAAACTATGGAAAGTAGTGTTTTACACAGCTATTTGTGCACGATAATATGTCCAGTCGAACCAACATGCATCGCAACCTGTGATTTACAGAATGTGTGAATCACCATTATTACATTAACTTAATGGTTTGACTATTCAAGTTATTGTTTTCGAAAAGCACATTTTATGAGCCATTGCTGGCAAATTTGAAAAATTCTAATATCATTTTAAAAGGAATATATTGCACAGTGGTGAAGTGTATTTCCCTAAAATTGCAGAGTTTCTAGCACCCTGAGAAAGACATCCCTTTACTGGCAAATTATATTATTTGTTGCATTGGTTCATAGTGTAGTTGATGGGAGTATACTTAACTTACACATTTGCCAGTGAACTCTTTAGTTCTAATAAGATACCTGAATAGCAAAAACCGAAACCCAAAATTTGTTCAATGAAGTGTCCAGGTAAAAGTGAATACCAGCATATCAATAAATGCCGAAGACCATCTTAACAAGACATTAGTTCGAAGCGCTGAATTTTCACACGTCATGTATAACTGAGCTTCTTAAAGGGCATAACCTGGACAAATCTTCACACCCATACCCTAACTCACATAGATAATCTCGTCACTATCCATAAGTAGGAACGAAAATGTGTAAAAATTATCTCAAACAGGCCAAGTTGAAACTTAAGCACCCATTTGAGCAATTAGTTTGCAGAAGGACGGCCAATGTTTCAATCTAAACCCCAAGGAAGACGGAGGTTCCATTTAGAATTTTGTTTCTACTGTGGAACAAATATATTCTACCGTAGGATTTTTTGGTGCGCTTATTGTGAATGGACACCCGTAAGTTCTTATTGAAGAAAGTTGCTACCGTAAAATATGACATCGAAGCTGTTACTTCCAAACACAGCATTGCTTAAAGAATTTAATTGCTACGAGTTAGTCATTATTTTTCAGTCATTCGTGTATCTTCCAGTCGCTTCATTAATCAAGCTCATCCATGTGGTCAGTCTTTGGAAAGTTTTAATTACCTATGGAGTGGGAGCTTGCCGATAAAGCCACTGACAGCAGGTAGTTCTTAAATTTGATTTCAACCGAGTTTAATCATGATGCCCATTCATCATGGTATCCAAACGAATAATTTAAGCAGACTGAGGAGGTGGTTGTTTTAAACCTTAACTAATCTAATTGAGCTTATTCAGGCAAAAGCACTACACATAAAGTTGTGGAACCAAGTAAAATTGCATGCTTTTATGCAGATTTAAAGGCTATAATACAGCTTTTCACAAATCTAAACTGGCAATATCATGGAAAAGAAAACTTCCGCTTAACGCATTTATGCTATTATTGCTGATAAGCTGCATTTGGGAATTTAGTAAGATCTCGTGATTCGGTAAACTGCTAGAATACTGAAGTTAACGTCAAAAGATATTTCGGGTTTATTGAATAATAACATGTTCTATCTGTAAAATACTTTCCAAAAGGACCCAAAACATAATAACGATATGAACTGATTTTAAAATGTACACGGAAAATAACTGAAGGAACCCATAAAATTAAACCAATGATAGTGTTCATAAAATAAACACTAAAATAGCTGCATTGCATGTCATGCTGGTGGTGTGCAGGTGGTTTTATGATTAAATAACATTTTTAAACTAATTCTGAAAACTTATCGAAATTAATTTGAATAGATTTCACACGCTGATAAACTTTATCTTTAAATTTTAAAAATGCGAAACCAGTGACAGAAAAGACGGATTTCTATTCAAGGTTTCTTCTGTGAGGTTTACATTTTCATCGAAATAAAGACGCCAATACATCCACTTCTGACGTAATTGATTAATTCTGCGTTCTTGATAAATTATTTAACAACCCTTTGCTTCTGTAAAAAAAACGTTACAGGACATTATTATTCCAATAAAATTTAAGTTGATAAAGTCTCACCGCCAATATATCGGACTATAACCAACATTTACATTTAACTACGACATGGGAACTGTAATGGCTTAAACAAAAGAACCATAATATAAAGACCTCTTCACGATTATATTTTGCCTTTGATTTACGTTCATGTAAGTGGTACGTAGACAAGTATACGTACTATAACGGTGATTAAATCGTGTCGATTATATAAATGAACGTATAAGAAAGCAATTATAATTAAAATCCAAAATTAATGCAATTCCTCTGTAGCAGTAAAATATTAAAAAAAACAAGTAATGGGAAAAAATGGACACTTCATTCCCGATTGATACGCAAAATACTAAATAAGCCCTGATGTGATATCCATGACACAAAATATGACTTGATAATAGTGAATGAACGGTGTTAGGCCAAATTTACTCAAAGTACGTGGGGATAATTAAAGGCAAAAATATAGAAAATTTAGAAAAAAAATTATAGAAAGTGGTCAGTTAGCAATATAGGAGTAAAATTGAATAATGTATTTAAAATCATGGTGTGCATGACTGTTAGAAAAATATGAATAACAGTTTTAATTAAATGCAAGTTAGGTGAGGCTAAATTGGGATAAAAATTAGTGCAAAAGAAAAAGCTAAATTTGTCTCAGCTTAGTGGATCCCGACTAACCATTTAGACGGTTTTGTGAATACCTCATTCATTACATCAATAAATATTTAAATGCATCGACTGTTTAAAGGACTTCATATGCGGGATGTTCGGCGTACAGTTGTCTGAATGTGTATCTGTTGTTGGGTTGCGTTTGGTTTCTCAAAATTTTATGATAATTTAACGACTTCAAATTTTGTTGCTAGTTTGAACGGACGTTTCTGCTTTTCAGTGTTTATGTCACGCATTCAAACTAAATTAATTGTATTGTCACTGGTGTACAATTACCGGTTTTGTATTCTTTACCCTACTTGCATCTAAAGAATTATATCTTATAGAAACATAGTTTGTGTGTCTAGCCAGTCATCCTTAATTTGTTTCGGGCTGTCTACGCTAATCAGCTTTCACGTCATTGCAATTGCGTCCATATTCTTTAATGATGCTTGTGTACCTTGTTTTTGAATTAAGTGATGCGAATCACTTGATTGTTTCGAAGCTTGATCATAAGGCAGGCGTTCGTTTGTTACCAGTTAGTCCTTATTTTTCTGCCAGTCATGTAGTCAATAATTCCAAAGAAACTTCATATGTAGTCCGTTCCTCACCGTATTCGACAGCATTTATTAAATGAACTGTAGCTGTCATTAGTGGGTAGTCATACTGGCTTAATGCCCTTTTTCATAATAGTTTTGTTGATTTCTAAGGCGTATGTTCCACCAATGTCGCCAAACACCATACCGTCGGGTTCTGTCAAAAATACGGATGGTAATGAACAAAAAGTGGTTAATAAGCGATACAGTCTTCCTGGTCCTTTGGGGATGTTGCCCAAATGTGGGGTAAGTCGAAAACACGCTTGTGCGTGTAGTTTTTATCCTTCGTAATTGCTTTAAATTGTTTTGTAAATGTTTAAATTTGGATAAATTTTGTTAAGTTCCTCATATTGTCAATACCTGTAGCCACAACTAACTGCTGAACATTCTAACCGGAGCTCTACAGATTCTGGTTTCTCACTAGAAACTGATGTCATCTGGCACCGTGTCGTCTCCTTATGTGGTTCAGAAGTTTGGAAAATCATCAGCAAATATACAGTTGAAAATATTTTAAAAGTGAGCGGATTGTTTGTCAGTTTACCCTCTTCTAGAATCCAGAAAAAGAATTTCCTCGCGGAAAGATCCCAGTAATGTGCGCTGTTATCGAAAAGATGGACGTCGTCCTCCCTATTACAAAGGCCGTTTTACGTGACAATACAGGTGATGCTGGCGCATATACTGTCTACTACATTTCTTTAAGTAGTATATTTTTGCCATATGCCCTTCAATTCCCACTATCGACCGTTTGGGCACATGGTTCCATCTCGAGTGCTTCCTATTTCCTTATCACCATTCTTCCTTATTTGGCCTTGCTGTTATTTTAGACTCCTTTATCGCCTTCGCATTTAACACTTGTAGACTGCCTTTTAATTCCTACTGTCTCGAGAATTGAATAACATTGCATCTGCTTGCACATATGCGATTCACTGTAGCATTTCACTTTCAGGAACAATCGGATGCAGCATTGACAAAAGTGTCATTCTAAAATATGGAAGATTCCTTTGCTCGGGCGTGGTCGTGATCCTCAAGCAGGTTAGTGTCTTCTTCATTATGCGGAAGATTGCAAATGAGCTGCTTAGTATTGCAATTTTGTGTCTTCCTTTACCTCAGCCCTTTTTTAGCAACGAGGATAAGATCTGTTGCCTTTTCAACTGTTGATTAAATCCTTTCTCGGGGTAGTTTGGCCGTTATTGAATACTCAGAAACGCGAAAACGTTCATTTTGCAGTATCTGCTGAGACCCCTGTGGTATTCAATGCCTTCATTTAAGATATTCACTCTGCTCCATTTAGAGACCCCTCAAGCGTTCAAGCTAGTGCTTTTGTCTAGTTTTCACACCTCACTCTTGGTTTCCCAAGCATTCGACAGTTCTACAGCTGTCTCAATTCTTCCAAGTCCACCTGCAGCATTGGTGTTTAGAAACTAATAATTTTTCTGTTTGTTGTCACTGTTGCTTAGCTCTTGTGCTTCTATCTGCTTGATAATATTCCATCTGGCAGTATCAGGTAGTGGCGTGGCTATGGGTACATGGGATTGGTGGGCGTCCAAGTGGAGTTGCGCTCATGATCAAAGCCTTTGAAAGGCTATTGTAATTTTCAGGTTGAAAGCATCTGTTTTTAAAATTTCGCTCTCCAACAGTGTACATTTTTTCGTAGGCTGTAGCACGAACCGAAATTTCGCGGCCTAAGTGGGCTCTTGTCATACGTAGAAAAGGGAAAAAGTACTGATCGATTGGATTAAATTCATAAATCGTTGAAAGGTAGTAAAGCGACTATGAATTAAATTCGTGTAAAGCTTTTTATTAGCAAAAGGCTTATTATTTAAGTTCTCATCAATGAGCTTTTTTCGGATTTTCTACCTGTGTATCTCTAATTAAGAAGAAATATGTTAACTTATATGCTCAATTATTCTTAACCATTTGGGAATCGACGAGTCATTGCTTCTGTGTTGAATGAAATTTAAGTTGATTGGTTCTGTTTATCAAAAGTCTTTGGGGAGGAATGTACTTTGCAAATGAAGTAATGTTCAAGCATCTCAAAATCGGCCCTGAAGGAAAATCACTCTTGGATGGGCATACCCAGAGAATAAAACAAACTTGGCATGTACATTCAAGCATTATCAGTCACATGGTTTGGATGGTTATTACTCATGGTGAGCCATCAACTTTTTGTTTGTGCAGTAGCTGCCTCAACATAGCTGGGTTCATCAATGCTACAAAATCAGTTTACGAAACGGGAAGTAATTTGACTTGTTCGTGTGCGCTGATATTTCAAGGCAGTGCCCCTATTCATCAATCGAAATATGTTAACGGTAGATAAACCTTCGTTATGTTCAGGTAGTTGATATGCTGTGAGAGTCTAAAGAAGAATTACCCCAAGTCAAACCATCCGCCCTCTATTGAGGGTAAAATGCTGTACTTTACACCTGAAATGAAACCTGACTTATTTTCCCGAACCTTGATTGGCCTTCACGTCATGCAGCATCTAACCATATTCCTACCAGGTTGCAGCAGTAATAGGGGCGAATAAGACATTTCTGCACTTAAATGATTTGCATTTCGATTAATTCATTTTTAAGAATTTGCCTTAAACACAAATGAGAACTAGCACATCTTGAGTACAGAAGTGCGCCAATTGGAAAATGTAATTCTTAACCACGAACAGGTCAGGCAGGTCAGTTAAGGCATTCAGTTTTCCCTTTTTTATCAGTGAGTTTTAGGCCATACTGTAGTCAGTTATTTGCCTCTCATTGCGTTCCTCATTACTAACTCGCTATCTTTCTGCTGTATCACCAGTTGTTGAACTCAATCCTCCCCTAAGGAGTTGTATTCATCTGTTGCCCGCATGCTTACCTTGCAGTCATTGGGTTTTTCGTACACGCCTCCACGTGGGAAATTTTTTCGCGTTACTATCCGCGTTAATCTATCTGTCCATTACAAAAATGGCTTGCTTCCCCTGACCTTCGTGTTAGTCCTTGCTTAGCAAATGTACAGTTCATTCGGTCTTTGTCGAACCAAGGTTTGTTCCTGGTTTGTCTAATCGTTCCTAGACTTCATATTTTTATCTGACAGCGTTACTAACTAGCATTCAATGCGTCATCTTTAATTTACCTTAAACAAATCTGATAAGTAGTGCACTAAACATTTCAGGCTGATTGACTGCCACTTCGGTCCAAATCAGAACCGTAACCCTATCAATTCCGTGCGTGTATGGAAGCAGATATATTTGGATTTCCTATTCTTTTTTTTCCTTCGACATTACGGACCCAGATCTGCTGACTTCGATCCGGCGTCGACCCCGCTATGTGGTCGAAAATCATCTCAATAACGTCTCAGCTAAATTAAAAAAACATCGTGTGCGTTTGTGGCGTTCGTGACTGGTGGCACTTACGTTGCCTCGCAGTTCAGGGAAATGATAATGATACAATTTCGGCGGTTTTGTCCGCTATTGAGGTTCCTCGGGGAGCATCGGAGCACGACCCACTTCTCGAGGGTGGTCATTGTCCCATGTATATGCATCCTTTTCTGTTAGTTTCCATCTCACATTAAATTTCAATGCCGGAATTAGAATGTGGTTTCTAGTGCATGCATCATGCTGAGTCCATGTGTTGAGTCACCCGCGTTTTCACCACAATCCCCTCCGAACCATACTACTTTCAATTTCGTTAATTCAGTCCAACTCCTCTATTTATTTTCACCGTCAACACCTCTTCCCTGTTTATGGTATAGGTCAGTCTCTTCAGTTTGAATCACAAGACCTTTTACCTCAACGTAACGCGCTCCAATATCGTGCGGATTGTTCTCGAAGAAGTATCTACTGACCCGAATTCGGCGGGCTCACAAATTCCTGAAGTCGTGGTCTGTAGCCCTAGTACCTCTTCGTGTGATCCCCCTCTTTCGGTCGATGAATTGAAGACAATTGTAGCAGAATGTCTCGTGCCACCTTCCCCGCCTCCACTACCTTCTCAACCCGTATTTGTGTAAGTGAATATTTTGCGTCCTGTCTGTTTTCGCATTTCTCTTAATTCTTTTTTGATCTATCTCATGCTCTTAATTACTTTCTGGAAGTCCTGACTTCGAACTCACTATATAGTAGACTGTTTCGCTCATCACCACGGCGAAAATCGAATATGCATCTGTATCCGCCTTTTACAGTGTATCCGTGATGTTTACAGGTGCCTAAGTCAGCAGATGGAATGACACACCAGTGCACTACCTTAAATATTAAGTTGATGCGCACTTAATAGAGTTTTGTTATAGTTCAAATTACAAGTCCTGGTCAAGACGGGACTTCATGCACCCGGCAAAATTCCATTTTGGTTTTGACCCTTTCACGAACGGTTTTTTATTTCTAAATTTCATCAAATCACTAGAATTGCATATGTCCTATGTTATGTGGGACGGGCATCCTTGCTTGACCTGTTCATGTGTTGTGTGCATGTGTTATGGTAACTTTCAGGACTAAAATGTCAATTTTCGGCCAATTCATTATAATGTCTAAGCGTTGTCTTGCCCCCTTTCTAAAGCTGCCATCGTGCAGAGTACCTTTTTTGTCCCACTCCAATGGAGTAATCTGTTTTCGAAATGCAGTTCACTGTGTACTCATGAGCTTTGTTTAATTTACTCATCAGATTGGTGAGTTTTTGTACCGCTTTTTTCCTGTGTGCTAATCTAACTTGCTATCTTGACGCCCTTCTTAACTTTTTGCCTCTGGGATGATGTGCTTCGCTGTTTCTCAAGCTCATAGTAATTTAAACTCGGCACTGACGCCTACAGCAACTCTCTGTATTCTGGTAATAATCATTTATACTCCTCTTTTGGCCTTTGCTGTGTCATTGAGTTCGCCATCAACGTATTATTGGGCCGTCTTCCTGAGACTGTCCACCGTTTCAGTTAGGTCAGATAGGCTATCAGGAGTTTGGAGGTTTTTCCGTCAGTCTACACTCTTGATTGATTCACCTCTAGTCAAATGCTGGCAACCGACGGACAAATTTTATTCCCTACACGTTTTAGCGGCGGTGCGCTTCATCGTACCGACTTTATTGCGAGTAGCTGCCACCCGCCCCCTTGAAGTTCCATTCTAACCGGATACCCTAGTTAACGGATATAATAAGACTACTTTCTTCCTCGCCTTCACTACTCGAATACAGCCTAGTGGCAACGGGAATTTTGACCTCACATCAGTGCTGTTTTTGTGTTTATGTGTGAACTTCCCCCAAATTCCCGTGACTTCATGATTGCGCTAGGTACCGGAAGTTGTGGGCGGAATAAAAGCGTCGGTGTTAATTTTCCAGGTTTCACTGTTAAATAATGGCGAAGTAATTTGCGACATATTTCTGAGGTGCTTTTTTGAAATTTCACTTGCGTACAAAACCTGGGCCTTTTTTAACATTGTGTGAATGCTGCAAACTGAAGTGAACACGCCATTGCATAGTTTACATTTGTTCAGTATAACCCTATTTCCTACTTTTAAATTACGCGAAAGGTCAATGTCGAACTATGCCCTTTTTTACACGTGGAAAACATTAAGATTTGATGATGCATCGGACAGCTAGCTTACTACAATTTCCTAATACGTTTTATTAGTGATTATGTTAACTGGTTAGTGTGAAAGTGTTTGTAGTGGAATCAAACGTAGCTTTTAGTGCCTCTGCCATCGAAAAATAGATTGCGTTTTTTTCTATTTTGTTTGTGCATCGTGCACTCGTGAATGTGGACTAGTTTTCAGTACAATTGCGAATGCTCTACCATATGCGTTGCTAATAGTTGTTGAACATGTGTGTGATTGTTACATCAAAAAATTTACGATTCTTGAAAAGCTTTCTCACGGACCCATTCTCAGCTTGCTACCGTACTTGTCATCATGTTTCTGTTGTCACAAGCGCCTGTTAAATTGATGGCGTTGTCTCTAATTAACCGTGCATTTCGGCCTGCGCCTTCCATTTAAAACAACTAAACACTTCCTAATTATGCTTAGTATTTCTTCAAAGAAGTGATTTACTTGGTACGTGCTTCTCAGGGAATGTCTTGCACTTTTGGCTACTTAGACTGCCGTCGGTATTGGAATCTAAACCACGCAGATTAGGTAAACAAATTAATCACCGCGTGCTGCTAATTAGCACTCTAAAATTTACCGGGCGCACTGATCTCATTGCAAGTAGATGTATTTTTTTGTGAAATTAACACCAAGCCAACTGTTGCACGTGGACTCATTGGGGCTTTCACCCTTTTACTTGTTCCTGTCGATCTGCTTTAGGTATTTGGTGACATATCTTGCAGACTACTCGTGCCAAAGCGGCTTTAACGGTCTACCCTTAATACTTATTTCCCATTCTGCACTATTTAAGCAGTATGCTACAGTTCGTCATGATTACAATTTTCTGTTTTTTCTTGCCATTTATGCATCCTGCACACAAGGACACTGCGCCAATCAAGTAAATTTCGGAGCTCAAGTCTCCATCGCGTCGCAGGCATTCCGGGCATTATAGTATGGACCCACCAATGATAGATGCACTAGAAAGCACATTCTAACTCCGTCATTGGGACAAAATGTTTATGCGGTGTCTAAGCTCCCATGTCAACCTACGGCAATATTTAAAATGAGTCTCACAAAATTGCACGAATTTCGTGGTAACTTTTTGTATTGCGGGTCGTTGTTGCATGCGAGTTCTTTAATGAGTTTTTCGTGCTTATTTAAAATATTCTGGGCGATTTTCTTGCCTTGTTTCTGCTGATGGTGGTGGTAGTGGTGCATCCCATAATCAATCAATTCCAAATTCCAACTTTATTTTTGTCTAAAAGGGATGTTCCACAACCGTCCGATTATGTCAACTTCAGGCTTTGGGTTGTTGTGCGTCATTGTCCCATTGTTTTTGCATCCGGCCAACCTTTGATATTCACCATAGCATAGCCAGTCGCATCCCGCCCTTTCTCCATTCATCACTCATCTTTCCACCAATTTTCGCTGACTCATTGTTATTTTTGCGTGTGATGAAGATGCGGCGTATCTTAGTGGCGTCGGTGAGTTTATTATACTGGTCCCAGTTCTCCACGAAAAATCGCAGCTACATTTGGTTTTGTTAGTCAACAGATGTTATTAGTAAAGGTGTAAGCAATCATGTTTCTATTTCAAACGCACAATACGCTACCTTGTGGTGGTCTCATGAGGTTATCAATTCTTATGAATGAAAACACGCGACATTAATTGCTACTGAGGTAGGAAATTATATAATGCATAACATTCACCGCTTCTCTATATCCGCTCGTTCTGTATTTGTGAAGTAATTTGGATGTTAAATTATGCACCAATTACGTTTCGGTGTTAACTATGTTGTCAGATACTGTTTTGGACGATCGATCTAGTTTGTGTGGTGTGTATATCAGAGAAATACCATTATCGTGAATGTAAGAAGGCGCGAATTTAACGTCGTGTAGGGCACATTCAGCAAAGTTTGATTAATATCTGAGTTGGACAAAATCAGTATAATTATTTCGTCTACATCATCGCAACACTGGAAATCCTGCTTGAAAGGAGGGTTAATTACCATGCTCTTAATTGCTTTTAAGCGGATCAGTCAGATAGTTAATAGTCTTAGACGTAACCGGTAAATTTCAAAAGTAGCCTTTTGTAGATTCGTCTACCCTCAGTGTGTGCTAATTAGCCTAATGAGGTTCGTGATTGCCCACACGTGTCCCAGTCCTTTTGATGCGAATTTAACAGTTGTCGGTTTTTATTCGAATAGATGATACGCCGGACCACAAATTATTTATGTCAACCACTTTACTATCCATAATCCTAACAACTGAGGAAGACGTTGTCTTTTTTTATAGTCGACCTCGATCGTGTTTAATTTTTGCCCACTCTTGCGCCTACAATTTCTGTAGAATGTAGCAAGATAGCAGTTGTTCAAAGTTCATCCACCGTCCTTTGACTTTCTACTGTTCTTTGTTAACTGGTTTATTGCCTTTTCGTTGGCTAACTAGGCACTCAACTAGTGACTGTATATTCAATCGAAATAGTGTCGGTTGTTGGGCTGTAAGGCTAGTATGAATGATGTTTCCCAAAATCCTCTCGATTGCGAAGTTGAGCCTTCTGATATCTTTCTATCTTTAGCGCTTTCTGGTCTCTTGCCATGCAGCATTCAGCAAATAGCTACAAGTTGCATTGGTTATACATTAAGTGTTATCGGTGCGGACATGATGGATAGCTTTTGTTTTCTCGTGTTCTCGCATTTGATGCATTCCATGGCTTGCGGCATTCTTATTGATACATTTCCCCCTGGACTGCTCTCTTTTATTGCCTGTTTTCATAACAAATTATGTAAGGCTAGGTTGGTAATTTTGTTTCCTCTGAACATTCTGTGCCAACTAACTAGTTGGTCGGATTTGTTTATACTGTGCTTATTACCCTATTCTCACAGACATATACTGTATTCCTGAACTCACAATTTTATCATATTGCTGCTTTAATGCCGATTCTTTACAAGCTTGTATGTAAATTAATTTACACGCTTTCGCTCTTTCTGTTGATTCGTTCACCTCGACAACGAGTCGAAAATTATGGTCTTAACGACTTGAAATCCTTAGACGAAATTACCGCTTCAGTGTACTAACAATTGAGCTGGTTTCGTAATGATTCTTGGTACTAAGAGTAAATCTCAGAATGTTCAGAATCGACTCCTGCTCATTTACATTGTAGCCATTCGAATTCGCTATGTTCTCCACCCTTTACTTCTCGGTCTTTGCCAATAAAACCCAATCGACGAACTCCCGCCCAGCTGAAGCCTGTTCTATCCGAACTAACCAGCGAAAGCGAAAGCACAAGCACACAGAGGTAAGTTCAATCTCTCTAGGTTACAAGCAGGCGCAAGTGGTTAACCTGAATGGGGTCATGGGATTACGTGTTGGCGATGTGAATTGTGTTTGGTTATGCTCAACAAATGGAACTATTGATTCGAGAATATGGCAAAAGTAAATAGTGGGTCAGCATGTTTGTACTTTGTAGACTGCGATCGCAAACCCACCTAGACCGCGAAGGGATTTATTGGAAGGGATTAAGGAATCACGATCGAATCATTCACCAGTAATGAAGATCTCAGCACCGAAATTTCTAATCCCACTCAAATGGGCATTAAACGCGCTTATGAATCAATTATAAGCAGTGAGCACATGTTATTTTCTGGCAGGAGCTCCTTTGTTTAGCTACGCCTATTTCTATTCATCTTTCTATCAGCTTTTAAGGGTATTTACATGTCAAGGATGGTTAATCCCCATGAGTGAATTTTCAATGAAATCTCAATTATTCACAGATCTTACTACCGCCAAAGATGCTTCGACTGACTTTTGTTAATTCTATAGCGTTGTGGTGTTGCTATCACGGAATATTTGGTTCACAAGAGTCTAAAATACTTGTTTTTGGTGACCCCATCCTAGGTCAACTTTGACAAAATCCCGTCATACTTGATTTTCGAATCACCGTTTTCCCCTAACTGCAATGCTTAAGCTATTAAATGGAAATCAGTTCAAACACTGTTTAATTAGCAGATTTTCTTTCTTGCGTTTCACTTCACAAAGTGCAATTGAAGTGTCTGCCTTGTTACGCCTAAAAGGTGTTTGAAATGTGTTTTCATGGCCACTTTTTGCCATGCAAGTTAACTGGAACTGTCTTCCCTGAAATCTGAGTCGCCAGCCATGTCAGCGTCTGGCGGCATTTATGTTCCCTTGTTTTCTGCTTATCCAACTAATCGTATTGCGCATGCCAGCTTAAGGATTTCCTTGAATGACGCATCGCCTTAATTTATTTTCGCTATGGCACACAGGGGTCAGTATTTCAACTACACAGTCCTCAGCGCCTTTTTATCCCGCTCTTTTCTCCTTATCTAGGCTACTTATTTTCTTACGCTGACCTTTTCCTTGGCCTCGCTCCCAAGTTATTTACTCATTGATAGCTTTTTGATGTTCGTCAAGGGCATCATCAGCGGTATTAACACTTGCGAATGCCAGTTTTGTGATACCTTGTGGTCATTCCCTGTGGTTATATCGCATGGGTAGGTCAAGCTTTAAAGTGCAGGTCTGTGTTTTCAAGGTGGCATGGAAAGAAACATCTTCAGTTTAAGTCCGCTAATATGCAAAAAGGTCCTAAGTCTCACTCGTTTTGTCAACCGAAAGATGTGTTTTTTAATTGTTTACATTTTTGGCATTGCAAAAGGACGCTTCATCTTGCACTCGTTTTTATAACCTTAGCCAACAATTTAATGTTTATTAGTTATTTGAAAAGCACGCTTTAGAAATCGTGTCTGTTCAGACGTTCTATGTGTTAAATGACAAGTAGTTTCTTCCTCTTGGTTTATTATATTTTAGAACCCTCACGTGTATCCATTTAATCTGACGTGGTAGATGGATTTTAATCGGTCCTGAGCTATTTCCCATTTGTGGTTTTTGATGTCGGTTGGAAGAACAATCCGAGCACACGTGCAAGCGTTGACCAGTTTACGATTCTTCCCCTCCAGTGGCCGGTCACACTGCAGCATCCCCATGCACGTACATAAAGTTTCGAGTGTGGCGGGTCAAGTTTTGTGTGATGTTTGCGTGGTTCTTTACAGATTGGCTCAGGAAACGTTGTATACCGATTTAGCCTTTATGCGATTGGGTTATTTGTACTAAACATTGAAACGTAAAAATCTACTTAAATTCATGTTTGACAAGCAATTAGTGCTTTCCGGCACAGTGTATTCATAAGGAGATCTGCTTTGTTCCTCTTTTTAGAGATCAGAATTGGCGTTTGACTGGCGGTAGGTCTACTGCGTCAGCTGCCAAACCCGCAACGCCCAGTCGGTCTCGAAGTGGCCTTCGAGCTCTGTTACGGAGCAATTCCATTGTCACTGATTCCCCCCGATCAGTTTCGGGCCCTCAGCTCTCTCCCAGCCTTCTCGTGGAAGGTAAAAAAACTGGTACGTTCACGCAACCCTTGATTTGTATTGCTGGCTCTACTATAAGCTCAATTTCTTAACGAACGCACTGCCGGGGTTCGGGCAAGGCAGATTGTCGATCCGTGCGGACGTGTGTGCCTGGTTTGACCACCGAGCCTTTTGAGGCTGCTAAAGTGGCTCGCGAAAGGGACCCTTTTTCAATGGCCATATGCTTAAACGTGTACCCGGTGAAGTTAGCTCAAGAATTTACTTTTTTTAGAGGTCGGCTGCACCGACAAGGAAAATGAACCTTTGGGTAAGCTTAAGTTGTTAGACTTAGTGACTTGGGTCTATTTAAGAACCCCTTAGCTAAATGCCTTGGAGACATTTCCGCCCTGCGTAAACACCCGTTTAATTGCTTTTAGAGGCAAAATCTGCCGTTCTGGATTTACTGGAGGATGGTAAGTTTGCATTTTACTGGTATTATGGGTAAAATTTGATGGGTTGGCTGAATATACATTCTTACCAATTCACTGGCCTTTTAGGCCTGGAAATACTGCCGCAATTTTGGCAATTGCCTTAGTGCAACACATCGAAATGATTTGTTCAGCAGTACTAGTACAAGCTAATAGTTAGTAGTCATTGGGTTTTTACATAACTTCCTAATTCCAGGACTTCCACTTTGCAAGTTTGTTCTCAAATTCCAAAAGGCGATTCAGTGACTAGTATATATGCATGAATGGAATGAAACGCCACCCTGGTGTTATCGTCATTTTATCACCAACGCATTGCTCAGGGTATAATGCTTTTAATCTTAAAGCTTGTCGCACATATTCTCATCGATATTTCGTCTTTCAATATTTCAACCACCTCATAGCCTGCTTTATCGCACGATTACAAAAGCTCATGCCCGATTTTCATAAATAACAGAACCAGCATCCTGTTCTTGGCTGTCATAATTTACCTTGTTTCTTTTTTCCTGTTTGCGTGCTTCGATTAAAACCGTAACTCAGTTGATTGCAAGCGGTTTTTTTCTTTTTCGGTCGGTTCATACGTCGTTATGCAGTTATTATTAATCATTTCTGGTCGTATACATGAAATGCCTACATGTAAATGCCCTCTTTCCTTTGACTCGGTATCATGTCATTTCCCGTTTTCGCAGTTAATTAAATTTTTATGACTAGTTTCTTCCCCTGTCGGCATGTTAGTTTTTTTTCCAACTTAAACATAATCTGGAAAGAAGAAAAGAAAATGAATAGGTAGATTACTTGCCTTTCTACCGTATTTTTCCGTGTAAATTGTATAAGTCTTCGTTTTTTGCCGCTTTATCCACTCTGGTATCCAAATTTGAATTAATTTGCAAAATGAATCATCTTTAGTTTTCCACTAATCAAGGATCTCTGAGTCGACGAATACGACAAATTCATTGCTAGCCTGAATTTAAGGTGATGTAGCCGTAGTTGTTCTTTAACCAAGGCGTTAAAATTGTTGAGGAACGCAAATTCCCATTCGAATAATTAGCCCCCAAATGCAATAACTTTTTGTCGCTATACCAATGATGAAAGGTCATTTTCTAGTAAGTTGTTAGCTGACACACGTAGGCATACACGACTGTTCATTTACTCGCTAGGCACAACTTTGTCTCAATCTGATCGATCACAAATTTGATCAGATTGAGATCAGTGAATAAAATTTGTGAGTTGTTTGAGCACCGACGTCAGACAGACGGATGCTCTTAGTTTGACGAAGTGGTATTCAATTGTCCACGTGGGCAATTGTTCTTGAATTTACCTCGACAAATGGTGTTTTTTTTATAAACGTTACACTTTGCGAGGTTGCAAATGCTTTTACATAGACAGGGAATGAGCAATTCCTTAGTTATTCAAATCAAGTTCGTTTGAAGTTTGATGAAACCTACAAAGACGTGACCTTTGAAACAAACAATTTCGCGGTAGTCTAAACATCGAATCTGCATAGTCTGCATTGCTTGAGGTACACGGAAGTTCGGCCGACGGATCTGGTCGCTGGTTTTGCACAAATGTGACTGCGTGCTGTCTCTTATGCAGTGCTATCGATACAATCATAGTAAAACCCAGGTAAAGGCATCTGATACGGTGACAATCGATTGCCATAACTATCGTGGAGTGCCCTTAGGCCCGTGACTGGCGAAATAAGTAATCTTGTCTATAATCACCTGTACATATTTAAGGCCTTTTTTTCTAAATGTATGTGTTCGATTATGCGGTGGTATATCGACTAACTAATCAATTTTCATTAGTTTCTCATACTTGGAATCCTCAGTGTTGGTTCTAACTCTGATCTAGTCAGGTCAGACTTGAACTCTTGCTTCGATCCTTTTTTGTTTGCAGTATAAAACAATGCATGCATCATGAAATCTTTCGGCTAAGCTTACCTGAATAACGACCTCTTGTTGGTGATGTGCGTGTATGTGGAAAAAGTGGATCCTTTGAGAAAATTTAGCCAAAGCCACCCACCCGAATAAGACGCCCTTTGGGCGTCCACGTCTGTGTAGTGATTTCTCTTTTTGATTTCTGCCAACCTTTTCGGATTCCCGCCCTTTTGTGTTTTGTCTGCGAAATTACCTCTGCTCGCAGATACTTAAGCGACCTTAAATAGAATATTAATCATTTAGTGATGTGATGGCACCCACACTCCCATGCAAATATGCCTCTTATTTTCATGATGGCGTTTCCTGGTTAAAAGAAAGGGAATTTCCCTGGCTGTAACTTACACCAAATCAAGCGAAAAATGCACATCCAATTCGTGTGTTGTCCCGAGGTTCAAATGTATCCATATGAGTTATTCGATAAGCTTTCATCTTCATGGTTCATCCACTAGATTTACTAAAAATTCTACCCACAATTTGCCAGATTCAAACACGTGAAGTTGGTCAGCGAACTTTTGTCGTAAGTTTTGTTTAAATGGAAACTTTTAAAAGTTGACTAGCTTCCTTTGCTTGCATAAACGTGAACATTTATGTGTGACTGCAGTATTCCTTTTCCTTATTTTCATTCGTCAAGTTTTTAATATGTTGGTAACATTACTGACTTCAGTGTTATTGGCAAAACATTTAAACTTCTCTGGTGATAGATATGTTACGATATAATTCAAATTTTTCTAATTTACACTATGCACATTTTTTTCATTTCACTTTTTTTCGCGTTCGATTTACGAACTTGTTAGACAAATCATGCAATGGATACTTTGCAGCCGCTTAATCCCGTCAAGTTAAAGGAAAACTGTCTCACATCGAGTTAAGATGTAGCTTATCGTGGACTTGATTTTGGCCCATCCACGTGTGTCCCCCGTCGGGAAATGCGAATCTGTGGTGTACCCTCGTGGTGTTGGGTAGGGGTTGTGAGGCAGACGTAGCATGCCTCTCTCACTGTAAATGCCCCTCACTCCGCAGTTGAGTGCCGATCTAATCTCACTATTTGTGTATTTTAAGCGCGTCCGAGTTCTGCCCCTAAGTTGCACTTCTCTCGTCTTCTTCCATAATTGTACTGCAGCTTCTCCGCAATTCAGGTCCCCCTAAGGTTAAAAAAATAAACTGTTCAATAATTTTCCACTAGTAAAGATGCACCCGCGTGCAGTGGCTTAATCGTCGTTGCCGTTTTCACTTTTTTGGTGAGATGGTTTGCCGATTTTTATGCTTTTCCACGGTTTTCGGAAGTCCATAATATTGCCAATGAATGGCAATTTGATTCAAATTGGTAACGAGTGCTGTGAGGGTGTTTGCTGATGTCTCACGATCCGCTTTTAGTCAACATGGCACGCTCCAACTTCGAAAGTTTGTGGTAATCATCATTCTCTCTGTAACTCTCCTGCGACCTATTTTATCTAAGTATGTCGGTTCCTACGATCATGCGAGGATTTGTCATATGAAGAAATGTAGTTTTAGTTGGGTGTGCTTGGCTGGATTGCTTTGCTCGGTATTGTTTTAGGTTTATTGGTTATTTCGCATAGTTTGTTCTTTTCACAGAAACCGTTTGCAAATCGCCCCCCCCCCACAGACAGAGAAATCGTTGCCACCGTCTCATAATCCGCTCGTTTTTTGGCGCCTTTTAAATGGTGACGTGACGCTTACCAGCATTACATGTTTTGGAGTAATAGTTTCCCAAAAAAGAAAGCAAATGGCTCGTAAACCCACGAACCAAAGAAGTCGATGTTTATTTAAAGGTCTATGAACTGTCCTTGGAGTGATAATCCATTTTAATACCTTTTTGTTTTAGACATGGACGATTTACTTGCAAGTGTCATGGACTGATTCCTTCGGCTTATCTACGTCATCTTGCCAGTGACGTGGAATAAGTATCCAATTTTCGTGTATATATATGCATGTATGTATATAATTGGTGTTGTTCAAAGTGTAGGGAGTTATTTGGTACATCCGCACACTAATCGATCACACAGCTGACAGTTATTACTGAAATACAATTTTTTTGCACCTGTAATGTTTCGAATTTATTTTTGTTATCAACACACCCGTGGGTTGTTCTGTAACCTGTTCATCGTATCACCGCTTTGACTCACTGCTATTATTTTAACTATTTTTGAATAGAATTTAATGAAACGTGTTTCTTATGATAGTTTTAGGCTCGTAATTCATCTTTCTAAGTAGATGATTATTCAAAAATTCCTCAATTAACATGAAAAATGTTGACATTTTTAGTAACCCTCGCTTTGTATGGATCCTAGGCGTTTTAAATCAATTTCATAAATTTTACTTCGGGTAAATTGTGGCGTGCTACGCAAGTGCACATCAACTATGCTAGTTTTGTATGATTAAAGGTGTCATGAGCTTGAATGTGTTCTGTTAGTGTATTTACTTCTCAATTTCAATCATGCTCAATAAATGGCTATGCTGTGAGCCCAAGGTATGCTGTGAAGAACCGTAATTTGTGGTATCTCTTTTCAAGACGCGTTTTATGATACCTTTAAGGCGTGTGAAATGCTAGGAATAATGTGACTGCACCCCGATGTCGAGTGCTGTCCTTACATTCTTCGTCCTTACGATAAAATTCTAGTATTAACTAGCAAAATTGGCTACACTTTTTAGCGGACAGAACACCTGGACAGGGAATGGGCTGAATTATGCTGAACAAACAGATTTTGAGGTTCGTAGCTATTCACTTGTTGTGATGCCATTCCAAAAAGTAAATAACCAGGTGGGAAATTTGGCTATAATGACCCCCTCAGGCATTTAGGGTAAATCAGCAGCCCCGGAGGTATGCGAATTAGTCTAACTTGTCATAAATTTTAACAGCGTGCGAAAAAGCGTCTGTGCCCAGCAAGTCTGGCGGAAGAGGCGAAGTAAAGGTCACCGACGATTCCATTTATCTCACAATTCTGTGCCACAAGCCATGTGCGCCTTGTGGGTCTACCGCCTTATAACTTGGCTACAGCTTGGGTTTTGGTAGATTAAGCGGTGAAGCAGGATAATCGGGAGCCTCGTTTGCGAGCCATAGATATAACCTGTTTTGAATGTGAGCCCGTCCTCTCGGCCAGTTGTTTCTAATGTGACTAAGGGTCGGTGTTATTGTCTACCTATAAGCTAGTACA